GGGGATGTCTTCAGCTTGTCTCTCACGAGGCTCAATCACTGAATAATAAAATAACAAGGATCAGAGCAAACATCGCCCCGATGGGGGGACCCAGACGTGCCCGCCGCAGCCCTGCGCCCAGCAAGTTGCATGAGGTGTCGGGGGTGTGGGGGGCTCCACGCTTCACCCGGAACCCGGGCAATGTCCTCGGGGTCCACCCCCCGCAAAACCTCGAGGTCCCACGGTTGGCGTGTGGCCAAGCCAGGATTTGACCCTGAGGGGGTCTGATTCCTGGGGACTCTGGAACACCACGACCGCTGCGGTCTTGGTGATCCATCTGGGAAGGGGCCACCGGCTGGAGGGAGGGGAGCACAGGCCTGAGCCCCGCTCCCCAGTCTCTGGGACACACTCAGAGGGAACTGTGTGGGTTAAAGGGCCTGCCCACAAATGCGGCAAAACAGGCACGACCACAAGTTTGGCAGCATCGTCATGATAATTAGTAATAATGACAGTTGACAGACATGGCTGAGGGTGCCCGGGTGCTGTTCCGAGAGCCTTCTGTTCAGAAGCCCACTTCGCTTTCACAGTATCCCCCTGCGATGGGACTTGTGGCGGGTCCCACTTACAGATGGGGACACCAAGACAGAGAAAGGAAAGGTCACTTGCTCGAGCAGAGGCAGGGTTGGGATTGGACCCGGGGACAGGTCCAGAGTCCACACGCTGACCTACTAAACTGTACCCTCCACAGCTTCTCCTGTTCCACTCCCAGTCCAAGTTGTGCCACAGAAGACAGCCACCGGGTGTCACTGACAGTTATCCATGGGCCTCTCTAATATCTGCACATCTCACAAGCAGGGGTGTGGACGGCTTTGGCTCCAGCTGTCCTTTCAAGGATGTTTGTAGAGCAAACAGCACTGGAGGATAGAGAGAGGTTCTTCCTGTGGAGCAGAGTGGAGGCTTGTTTGCTCTCCATAGAATCAAGGTGAGTCTCCATCTCATAGAGGTAGGGCAGGTTGGTTTGTGTCCACTATAGAAATTGGGATTTCTAAGCTTGAAGCTTTTGGCTGTGGAACAAACCCCATGTGAGACTTGGGACGCACCAGCTTAAACACAAAACTCACACTGCTTTCTGTGCCTCAGTTATAAAGTCCCCTTTTCTCTGACCCTAGTGTCCCCTGCTTTCTGCCAGCATCAATGAAATTGTAGGGTTTAAACAGACAGCTTACAAGTAGGGTAAAATCTCAAACTGCGTGGGTCCATTTCCACTACTATAACAAAACACCCAAGGCTGGGTAAATTTACGGGGAAAGAAGGTTTATTTAGCTCACAGTGCTGGAAGTAAAAGGCATTAGCTCAGCTCTAGTGAGGACTTACGGTGGATGATGTCACGAAGGCAGGGAAGGGCACACGCCAAGAATAAGAGGTCACACAGCCCCAGACGGAAACCAGCCAGTGATTCAGGGCTCAGGCTCATTCTTAAGACAACCTTCTCTTGGGAGAACTGACTCCAGGTTCCAGGGGGTGGGGGCGGGGGGGGGCGCACACCTGTAATCCCAGCGGCTCCGCTCCGGAGGCTGAAGCAGGAGTATCCCCAGTTCAAAGCCAGCCTCAGCAAAAGTGAGGCACTAAGCAACTGGGTGAGACCTTGTCTTTAAATAAAATACAAAATAGGGTGGGGGGTGTGGCTCAGTGGTTGAGTGCCCCTGAGTCCAATCCCTGGTAGCTCCCTTAAAAATGATTAAAATGGTAAACTGTATAAAGTATGAATAAAATACATATATTTTATGTATTTTATAATGTAAAAAAAGTAGCAAAAATACAACTAAAAGCATTTGTTGAACACTCACTCTATGCTAGGCATTGAGTGTTTTAGAAGCACTGTCTCGGGGTTTACAATGTTGGCTGTTCCCACATCACCTCCGACTTTTGTCCATGTCTTACTTTGGGTTTCTCCAAAACAAGGGAGGTGGTCCCAGAAAGAACAGTGAGGGCCTAGGGAAAGCGGGCAGGAGGGGAGACACATTCATGAACAGAAACCGGCACTTGGCCTCCTGTGGAATCTTCTGAGCAACTGATGCAGGATTCCTCAAAGTCATCCCACTGAAGTGTTTAGGGGACTGGAAGGAATTGCCCACCAATTTTTTTAAATTAATTTATTTATTTTTAGTTTTTGGCAGACACATCTTTATTTTATTTTTATGTGGTGCTGAGGATTGAACCCAGCGCCCCACACATGCCAGGTGAGCGCGCTACTGCTTGAGCCACATCCCCAGCCCTGCCCACCAATTCTTGGCCTTCAGTGGTTGACAGTTGTGCCTTAACCTATTTTCTGTTCCTGTAAGGATCTTACTGGATCATTAATAAAGGAAAGAGGCTTCCTTTGCCTCGTGGTCCTGAGGCTGGGAAGTCCAAGAGGGTGCAGTCAGTTTTCCATCACTATAACAAAGTACCGGAGATATCGAATTTTATAAAGAGAAAAGGTTATTTGGGCTCACAGTTCGGAGGTTCCAGTAATGATCCATTGATCCCATTGTTTGGGGCCTGTGGCAGCATGTGGCCGAGCAAAATCCCTCACCCCATCAGCCAGGAAGCCAAAAGGAGGAAGGAGAAGGGGCTGGGTCCCTCAGTTCCTCTTGAGGGACTGGTGCTGCTTCGCTCATGGTGCAGCGTGGAAGGGCGCTGGCACGTGGTGTGCAGAAGAGACAACGCGACAGGCGGCTCACTTCCTAACAGCCCGCTCCTCCAGTCCCTGATCCAGCCTGGCGCTTGAGGTCCCCAGCGCCTCTGCTGAGGCTGTATCTGTCTGTCTGCCAAAGCTATCATCACTTACTCAATGTTTTTTTTTTCCCTTTAAATATATCATTTTTTAAAAAATGTAAAATAGGGCTGGGGTTGTAGCTCGGTGGCAGAGTGCCTGCCTGACACTCCTAGCCCTGGGTTCCATCCCAGCCCTGCAAAAATAGACATGAACGTGTGACTCTGTATCTACGTTATATTCTTCTTCAGTCTCCCTTGAGGTGAGACAGTGTTGGTGACTAAGTTTTCACCTGTGGAGTGTGAATGCAAATTACGTGGGTCCTTCTGGGGGAGACTTAGCTCCTCCTGCTCCCATTTCCCCCTACAGTTGACACCCTTATCCTTGGGTGATACGTTCTAAGAAATCCCTGCCCCCGTGGATTCTGGAAGCCACCGATAGTACTGGGCCTTCTGTATCCTATGTTTCCCCTATACATACCTAATTACGATAGTTTAATTTATACATTAAGCATGAGGATAACAATAACTAATAATAAAATAGAATAATTATAACAATAAAAAAAGTTATATGAATGTGGCCTCTCTCAAAATATCTTGTGCTGTACTCACCCTTCTTGGGATGATGTGACAATGCGTACATGGTGATGTGAAATAAGGCAAATGACATAGGCATTATGACATAGCGTAGGGTTACTATGTGAGGGTTATTTCAACATAAGGACTATGATATATGGACACTCTATCTGAAACCAAAATGGCTGCCAGATAACTAATGGGTGGGTAGCATATACAGCCTGTACACACTGGACATAGGGATAATTCATGTCCTGGGTGGGATGGCTTGAGAAGTCATCATGTTACCTAGAATACCATGCAGTTGGCAACTTACAAATTATTTATTTCTGGAAATTTCCATTTAATCCTTACAGACTGTGGTTGAGTGTGCATAATTGAAGCTACAGTGTGCAATACTGTGGATGAGAGAACTGAGCACAGAGGTGTGTGCCTGAAATTCCAGTGGCCTGAGAGGCTGAGGCAGGAGGATTGCAAGTTTAAAGCCAGCCTCAGGAACTTAGTAAGATCCTGTCTAATATAAAAAATGAAAGGTGCTGGGGAGGTAGCTCAGTGGTAGAGCAGCTCTGGGTTTGGTCCTCTGCACCACAAAGAAAGCAACAGCAACCACAGACTGTGGATAAGGGAAGACCTGTTGAAAAACAGGAACATAGACGGGCCTGCCACCCAGCTTGCAGACAAGGCGATGCCTTAGGTTTGCTAACGACAGAAAATGGAAGCAACCTAGAATCGGGCTATGGTTTGAACAAGTCACCCCAAAAGCATGTATTGGAAATTTAATCCCCAGTGTTTGGGGAGGTGGGGGCCTAACGAGAGGCAATTAGATCACAAAGGTGGAGCGAATAAATGAATGTCGTTATTGCAGGAGTGGCTTCATCATTGTGAGAGTGGATTTATTACAAAGAGGAGTTCAGTTCCCTTTTATTCTCTCTCCCTTTTACCCTTTCTGCTCCACAGGATGAGGCATTGAGGGGGCCCTTGTCCTGAACTTCCCGGCCTCCAGAACGGTGAGGATATACATTTTGTGATAGCAGCCCTGGCAAACTGATACGGCAAGAAGGCCATTCATTCTAACTGGTACAGAGGTTGGTACCAGAAGTGGGGTGTTTGCTTTATGAAAATGGTTGCATTAGCTTAGTGGCCAGGAGGCAAAGACATCAGCATTGCAGACTGTCGAGCTGGGGACCGATGTCACACCAAAGAACATTTGGGAAGACCATCACCTGCGAATAGCTGTAGGGCTGGCCATGTGTCCTCCTAGTCTGTGCTTCTAGAATGATTAGAAAGAAAAAGGGATGCCACTTTATATCGGCTGCTTTTTGCTGCTTTTGGAAAACCATGACAAGAAATAGAGAGTCTTATCAAGAACTGGCCACCTCTCAGAGTCGTAAAATCACAGGATTGGATGAGCCAACAGCTTTCTGCCTCTCAGGCAGTAACAGCGGGGCTCTTGCCATCTTCCCAAGGCTATTGATTCAGAGAACCTCAAGGTAGCATCTGTTTCCTGAGAGTGACAAAGGCGTGGTAGTTCAAGGAATTAAACAGACACAAGGACTCAGCTAGCAAAGCGCACTGCCGCAGTCTGGCTGGGCATAATTCAGGAGCCACTTGTCAAAAGAAAGGAACTTTATTTTTAGAACACACACCCCACACCACACAGCTCCTCAGGAAAAACCCTCAGAGCCCAACTGCCACCACCTGCTTCCCACAAGCCTCTCAACCTCCCCCACTCCTCCTCCTCTTGAGGCCGATTGGCTGGGTCAAGTGGGCGGAGCCAAAAAAGTCCCCCAATGAGCAGCTCCGTGGTCTGAAAGGGCGGGGGAAACAGCCCAATGAGCATCACCGCAGAGGAGCCAATCAGCTGGCAGCTGGAAGTTTGCTGGGGCCCCTTGGGCTGTGGCTCTCAACAGAGCACCCGCTGTATTCCCGACAGTGGGTGAACCAGAAGCAGCGGGACCAGAGTTCTGTTCAGGTTTTTCAAGAAACAGAATCCAGAGCAGGACTTGAATCCTGGCCTCTCTGGTTTCCGGGTTCATTTAAAACCCCGTGTGTTCTCCAGGCTGGAGTAGACTCCAGGGTCAGGGATTTGTTCATTTCTCCTGCGTCCTCATCCCATGACAGAGCATCTAGAGCAGAATAGATGCTCCAAAAACAGGTGTTGGAAGAATGAAAAAAATAATAATAATAGAAAGCAATGCGAAGGCAACATTTAAGATTGGGAGGTTTAGGACAGGGGGCATCATATGTGGCTCCTGGACCTCCCAACCTTCCAGTCATTTAAGAAAACCCGGCTTCCTGCTGATGAGGGCCCCCAGGGCTCCCTTCATGTCGCTGTTGCGCAGGCTGTAGATGAAGGGGTTCAGCATGGGGGTGACCACCGTGTACATCACTGCAGCGGCCGTGTCCTTCTGGGCCGTGTGGGAGGACATGGGGCTGAAGTAAACCCCAATGAGTGTCCCATAGAACAGGGACACCACAGACAGATGCGAGCCACAGGTGGAGAAAGCCTTGCGTTTTCCGCCCGCGGACGGGACCCTCAGCACGGCCGCAGCGATGCGCGTGTAGGAGACCAGGATGCCCACAAAGGGCACGATGATGGGCAGGGCGCCCACCGTGTCCACCAGCACCTTGTTGAGGAAGGTGTCCGAACAGGCCAGCTTCAGCAGGGGGCTGAGGTCGCAGAAGAAATGGGGGACCTGGTTGTGGGTGCAGAAAGAGAGGCGGGTCAGGAGGACAGTGTGGGTCAGGGCGTTCCCGAAGGCGGCTGTCCAAGACATGGCCACCAGGAGGCCGCAGAGCCGGGGCGTGACGGTCGTGGCGTAATGCAGAGGGTGACAGATGGCCGCGTAGCGGTCATAGGCCATGGCGGTCAGCAGGAAGCTGTCGATGCCGGCGAACCAGATGAAGAAGAACATCTGGGTCAGGCAGCCGGAGTAGGGGATCCCCCTGCGTCCTGACGCGTGGTTGGCCAGCATCTTGGGGACGGTGGTGGAGGTGAAGCAGACGTCCACGGAGGCCAGGTTGGCCAGGAAGAAGTACATGGGCGTGTGCAGCCGGGGGTCGGCGACGATGGCCAGGATGATGAGCAGGTTCCCCAGCCCCGTGACCAGGTACATGGACAGGAAGGCGACGAACAGGAGCCGCCGCTGCCTGGGGTCCTCCGAGAGGCCCAGGAGCAGGAACTCGGAGACCCGGGTGAGGTTGGCTCCTTCCATGACGCCCCTGGACGATCAGCAAGGGAGGGGAGCTGTCCGTGGTGCCGACCGGGTCAGCCCCTCCCCCCCAGGTGTCCCCCCAGGTCCCGTCCCTCTGGTGGCTGCAGATAGTCAACAGATCCCTCCGCCACCCCCGCAGCAGATCCCCCTCCCCGGCCCCGCCTGCTCCATCCTCAGCAGAAAACACCGGGGTGGACACTGTTCATCCCAACGCCCTCCCGCTCACGGGATGTCACCTACAGCTTGGGGGACAGGCTGGATGTCACCTACAGCTTGGGGGACAACTCCATGCAACTGACCATTTCTTCCGGCCACCACCTCCCCCTCTGTGCTCAAGGCTCCATCTGGCCGCAGGGGCAGGCTGAGCCTGTGTCCACCCTAAAGTGGAAGTCCTGGGACCAGACACCCCCAGGAGGGTCGCTCCTCTGGTGAGGGACAGAGTTCATGGTTGAATCCCGTTTCCTCATTTCTGAGGGTTCACGGTAGAACCGGGTCGTCGGCGGGATCACCCCTCTGTTGCCCCAGGGGAGCCTCCTGGGCCACACCCACCATGTGAGCCCGAGTTCCGCTGCTGGAGGAGACACTTGAAGCTGGCAATGAGCGGGGCTTATTAGCTCAAGGTGCCAGCACTGCTTGGCTCTGGGGGGGACCTCATGGGAGACGGCATCACGTGGTGGGAGCACTGTGAGGGGGGAGATCCCATGGAAGGTGGAGGTCCCCAGTGGAAGGTGGCAAGCCAGGACCCAGTGAGAACTCCCCTGCTTCCCTCCAAGGTCAGCACCCTAAGGTGACCTGACAGCCTCCCAGGAGGCCCCACCTCTTAAAGGCTCCGCCCCTCCCACATCTCCACACTGGGGGCCTGGCTGCCCCACATGAACCTTTAGGGGACACTCAACTATACCCAAGCCACAGGCCCCTTCCTCCCATTCTTCCCCTGGATACTCACTGGGCCTTCTGGGAGTGTCCATGAAATGAACTGCTCACCCTCAAACCCTTGACTCCCAACCTGCCTTGGGAAGCCCTCCAGCTAGGGCACAGAGAGGCCAAACTCCCTCGGTCCTGGAAAGAAGCCCTTTCTTAGCACTCCCTCTGCTCCCCGGGACCTCAACCCTCCTCAAACACATGGCCCATCAAGGGCCACCAGACAGCCTATCGCTAATCCAGGATTGACAGCGGGCCAGCGGGCACCAGGACGGTCATCCTGTGGCGGCTGATAAACACCATCGTAGGTCCTCCAGAGGACAGGGAGACTCTCACAATAAAAACCAAGACGTAGACCCATCATTCCAGGCTGGTAGCTGTTGAGTGGTGCAGTGGTCTTGGCCAAGTGGGCACCTGGAAAGAGCCCTTGCAGAACTTTCTGCCGCCTTGGCCCGTGTCTCCGTGTGCAGTGTGGCTGTGTTTGTGAAATCCTCTGCACACCAGAGAAGGTACCTGTTTATCATTATCCTTAAATTTCAAGGTCGGTTTTGGTGTTGAAAAGTTAAGATTTACTTTGGTTTTTGTTGTGTTGTTTTGCAATTTTTTTGTATAAGTCAAAATGTGGAATTTTTTTTTTTTTTTTGTACTGGGGATTTAACCCAGGGGCAATTTACCACTGAGCTACATACATCCCCGTCTTTATTTGTATTAGTTGTTGATGGACCTTTATTTTATGTATTTATATGTGGTGCTGAGAATCAAACCCAGGGCCTCACACATGCTAGGCAAGGCATCTACCACTGAGCCACAACCCAGACCCTGCTGGGATTAATCTTTAAAAATCTTTTAAGGGGCTGGGGTTGTGGCTCAGAGGTAGAGTGCTTGCCTAGCACGTGTGAGGCACTGGGTTCGATCCTCAGCACCACATAAAAATAAATAAAGGCATTGTGTCCATCTACAGCTACATTTTTAAAAATCTTTTAAAAATTAAAAAAAAAAAAAAAACAGACAGGCATGATGGTGCATGCCTGTTATCCCAGCAGCTCAGGAGGCTGAGACAGGAGGATCGCAAGTTCAAAGACAGCCTCAGCAACTTAGCAAGGCCCTAAGCAACTTAACAAGACCCTGTCTCAATCAATCAATCAATCAATCAATGACCCCTGTCATTGACATGTAATGATCGTTCGTATTTCGGGGTCCAGTGCGATCAGTCAGTACATGAATACAATGTGTGATGATTGGCTGTAAGAGCCGGTGACTTGAGCCTGGACTCCATCGCAGGGAACACCAGCTCCATCCATCTGGGTGGTTCACACCCCCAAATCTTGGAGTCACCGCCAGCTGCCTTTCTTGGCACCGACCCCAGAGCCTTTGACAGAACCTGTCGGCTCCGCCCTCCACCCCCCACCCAGCACCTGAGCCGTCTCACCACTCTCCCTCCCACTGCGCCAACCGCTGTCCTCACCACTGGGATCTGGGATTGTCACCTAACTGGTTTGTCCTCTTCCACTCCTGCCCCATGTCCACATCACCGTCAGGGAAATCCTTCTGGAACGTGGATCTGTGTCCTCAGCCCGTGGTCTAGAGCCCACCTTGGAGAAAACCCACAGCCGCTCCCCTTGCCTGCAGACCCTGTTGGCCGCCCCGCCCGGTCACCTCTGGGTGCCTCCTCTCCCTCCTGCTCCTTTGGGTGCCTTGGTGCTCCTTGGACCCGGGCATGCTCCTGCCTCAGGCCTTTGCGCCCCTCTTCTCTCTGCTCAGAATTATCCCCCTCCCACTGGACTCTCCTTTCTCTCCCTGGCCTCCATGATAAAATCCCCATCGAGCAGGTGGAAGAACTTTCACAGAAGTAAGTTAGATCTGGTCCTCCACAAATTCTGTCCCCATTCCAGTTAGAACCTGCACATTCCGCCCCCCGGCTGACCTCCCCCATTTCAAGTCATGCTCCTGCCCCCCAGCCACAGGGGTCTCTTGGTCCAAGATTGGTCCTGCCTCAGGACCTTGACACCTGCTAGGGACAGCTCTTCCCTGAGGACTTCTCTCCAGTCTTTCAGGTCAACTCCAAGTGCCTCCTTTGCCTGTAGCTCAGCCATGGCTGCCGGGCCTTCCCTTGTCTTATGAGTTATGTGTCTGGACTGGAGAGAGGTCTCCCTGGACTCGTCGCCTGCTGCCATCTCCCTCCCCCCTTGGACAGGAAGTCTACACATCCTTGTTACTTTGTCCACTACTTAGGGAACATCTTCAGTGAACAGGAATTCTGAGATGATGACCAAGACCTGGCTCCACCCCATCCCATCAGCAGCAGCAGGAGATATGACGGAGCAGGTCGCAGGAGAGGTGGCCCGTGCCTCTTATGGCCAAGCAGCAAATAAAACAGGCTCAACCTCACCAACAGCCGGGAACCAGAAGTCACACCCGTCCACCTAGTCAAAACCAAAGCACCTGACGTCGTCTAGCCTTGGCCTGGTCACAGAGCAGAGGGACGCTCAGTCACGACAGGGAGCCCACCGGGTGGTGGAACTACAGTTGAGAGGGACTGAGGAACACGAGGAAGTCGAAGCCGTGGTGCTCCAGGACCCAGCGCTTCCAGCCCAAGTGTCCCCACTCAGGGTGCCCAGAGCCCCAGAAATGGGAACAGCTGCACCAAGCTGCACAAATGTCATAACACAAGGCAGGGCAGGAAAAAAATGTCCTAGAAGGACACACACAGAATGGTGTCACTTACATGAAGCCTGAAAACCTACAGCACAACTCTCCATGGAGGCAGGTGGTAGAGGCCATGGAGGCCATGGAGGCTCAGACCCCTCTAAGCTGCACCTGACACTTCTCCTGTTACTTAAGTCACCTCCACGGGGCTCATAGGCCCACTCCAGTGTGAAAGCTACGCAAATACAACACTGTGTTGACCAGGAGACGAGGACAAGAGGAGGTCAGCGCGTGTCCAGCACAGATGCAAATTCTTTTTCTTTCTTTTTTTTTGTGGAGGGTACCAGGATTGAACCTAGGGGCACTTAATCACTGAACCACATTCCCCAGCCCTTTTTTATATTTTTTTATTTAGAGACAGGGCCTCGCTGAGTTGCTTACTGCCTCGCTAAGTTGCTGAGGCTGGCTGTGAACTCACGATCCTCCTGCCTCAGCCTCCTGAGCTGCTGGGATGACAGGTGTGCCCCACTGCGCCCGGCCAGGTGTGATTGTTTAAAATACTTTTGATCCATGGGTGACAGAATCCACGGACGTGGGACCCAGTGATCTGGAGGTCCGCTGTGACGTTCCATGGGCACATTTTACAGTGTCAAGAAATAATGGAGACGAGAGGATCCAGGATGTTGATATGTCTGAAAGACACAGATGGAGATGATAGATCCAGAAGGGAGGCAGATACATCGTCTAGCCTTGGATTCGTAGGAAGACAGATTATAGAAGACAGATAAAAAGATAGATGGTCAGTCGGTGGATAGGCAGAAAGATAGATAGGACAGCAGAGATGGCTGACGCGGGGTGTGTGACTATCATCCCAGAGAGGATCGTGAGTTCAAAGCCAGCCTCAGCAACAGTGAGGCCCTAAGCAGCTCAGTGAGACCCTGTTCTCTAAATAAAACACAAAATAGGGCTGGGGATGTGGCTCAGTGGTCGAGTGCCCCTGAGTTCAATGCCCAGTAACGAACCCTCCCCAAAAAGGTACCAGAGAAGATAGATCTGCGTAGGAGAGAGAGGCTCGGCAGACAGACGGCGAACAAGAGAGACTGTGGTGAGGGATGGATGGATGGATGGACGCTGGGTAGGGAGAGAGAAAGGGAGGGAGAGGACCACAAGCGGAGGTTCATGGGGGGTGAGAGTGGGGGGGCTTCTTTCTACCTGAGACATTCCCTTCTCAACGTGGTGATGAACGGAACCCGGGCCCACTTGGGTTTTATGGTGTTCCTTGCCAGCGGGCGCTCCCTCTGAGCCCAGCCCCGGCCCCCAGCTTGGACCTTTAGCTGTCCCTTTTCAATGCCCAAGGACACGTGGGTGCACACACCGTGGTCCCCAACTTCAAGGGTAGTGGGTGGCGGTGGGTGACTTACTCTCCAGTCCAC